ACTGGAGACATGATGCAGAAGGCAGAGAGAGGCTGGGGTTCATAGTAACATAGTATGTAAGGGTGAATAAAGACCAAGGGTGTGTGTGTGTGTGTGTGTGTGTGTGCTCTGACACTTCCCATATCCCTGTAGATTTTGCCAAAGAAGAAACTCATCCAAGTTTCTGGAATGTTATATGAGGATAGCTGAGATAAGTGCTATACCCCTCAATGCTCCCACTCCAGGCTGTTGGGGGTCCTAGGGTCACACAACAAACACCAGAGGATTGCATGTGGCCCTCGGGCCTACAGACTTTGTGCTAAAGTTTGTCCCTCTTAATCATCTCAGAAGGTTGAAAAGTATGCCATTGGGTTGAATTGGAACACGGATTGGGAGCCAGGTCTTCTCAGCCAACCTCAGGACCTGACCTCACAAATGCTCTTTTGGCTGAATGGGTACAAATTCCATCAGACACGCTCCAAAATCTTGTGAAAAGCCTTCCCAGAAGAGTGGGGGCTGTTATAGCCACAGAGAGGGGCCAACTCCATATCAATGCCCATGGATTTGGAATGAGATGTCCAACAAGCTCATATACAGTAGGTATCATGGTCAGGTGTTCACCAACGTTTAGCCGTATAGTGTAGGGCCCTAAACAGACACCTGTATATATGAACGGGCCCATATGGCATTAACACATTTACCAACATATGCATTATATAATATTTACAGGGTTATTCACAGAAGGGTGAAGAGTTTGGAGAAGGCCGGAGAAGTGAACAATCTAGGACAACAAAGCTGAACTGGAAAAATTCTCCCATTCTGCTCACTTTCCAGTTCAGCCATGTTGTCCTAGATCAGGGGGTCTCAAACCTCCGGCCCACCAGCTGTGGTGAAACTACAAATCCCATGATGCATCTCTCTTCGGGAGTCATGTCTGTGGCTGTGAGAATCCTGCAATGCCTCATTGGATTTGTAGTTCCACCACAGCTGGAGGGCCGGAGGTTTGAGACCCCTGTCCTAGATTGTTCCCTTCTCCGGCCTTCTCCAAACCCTTCACCCTTCTGTGAATAACCCTGTAAAAGAAGAAAAAAAGGCACAACAATGCGCGTCACACAAACAAATATTTTATTACATGTTCCCTCTTCATTTGCAGAAAATAAATACGAGTGCATATTTCTCAGTATGCTTTCCTACAAAAAAGCATTACTATGTAACCCCGCCCCCCTCCCAGACATACTGCGCATTTCAACTACTGCGTCTCTTCTCATCGACCCAGGGGGCGGAGTCAACTTTGGGACAGGAGTAGAAAAAAAAAAAATAAGACACAAAAAACTTCAGAGTTGAACCTCTTGTCGGATATCCTTTGTGCTGCTGAAGAAGCCTGCAGTAAGTGGATCCACACCTACTACATCGCTCAGCAATGCTTCACAGGCCCCCCCCACAAAGCGGTAAACCCCGCAAGCTGCTGAATGGGCCGAGGAACAGCCCCGCTAGCCTCCCTGGCGCCTGCAGCGATACGGGTGAGGATAAGAACTGTATTACTAGATACACCCAAGAGTAAAAGCACATTGTGACTGAATATAAGCAAAGCCATCTGTCAAGGTGCAGTGATCATGGCATGACTTCAAAAGTACACCTTCCTACCCTCAGTGGAGGCAGCCATTTTGTGAGGGAGACGTATTCAGAACAAAAAACACAGCTGAAGATTGGTTTAGCGTACAAAACCGTTTCCTTGAGCGTCCAACTGCTGCTTTGTTTTTATAAGCCCTCATTGACACTGTAATCGGCCGGCGCGCAGGGCCGTACCGAGCTGTTCCCAGGAAGGACAGATACTGCGTGTGATTAGTACGCAGCCCCCTTCCGACTACGCGGCCGTACGCTCACCCCAAGTGCAGGTCCGTACGGGTGCGGGTGTCCCGGCTCGGACGCAGACAGGATCCATCCTGTCAGCGTGCGAGTACGCTCACCCGCCCTTCACATCTGTGCGTAAGGGGGGGCGTACGGCCGCGTAGTCCCATAGAGGACGGGGGCTGCGTACTAATCACATGCAGCACCTGTCCTTCCTGGGAACAGCTCGGTACGGCCGTGCGCGCAGCACGGAGCTGTACGTGCCGGCCGATTCCAGTGTGAATGAGGGCTAATGATCAAAACGTCAACGTCCAAACCTCGACAAGGACGCAAGAGACCCCCGCATTACACAGCAGCCGCCAATCAAATTTCAGATTGACGAAACCAGGGCATCGAAGGATGCATCGCCATTGGCTACCGTGTTGCCTCTGTATATACACCTACCGCTCTTATTTATAAAAGTGCCCGGAGGAAGAGTTGTTGGCCGCCGTGGGTAACAAAGTGCAGTTCTTCCCCTGGGCACTTTGTATAAGTAAAGGCCGCTACAACTCGCACGGACTGCTACGAACGTGTCCGATCCGTTTCCCTAAGTCACTAATCGCTCAAAAAGAGCAACGATTAAAAAAAAACAAAAACACGATTACCAAGAAGAAAAAAAAACAAAAAAAGAACGAAAAAAGTCACTTTGGTTGCTCCATTAATTAAACAAAAATATTCTGTAGACAATTAAGCGCAATCATATCCGTTGATACAAAAAAAAAAAAAGATACACGGGAACGAGATCAGTTAGGGCCGAGGCACACGGACGTCTCGTGACTTGCCTCTCTCCTGAGGCATTGCTGGCCAAAGATAAAAAAAAAAGGGGGAGATACAAGTCAGAGGGTGAAGCACGGAGCAGAACCGTAGAGAGCTGGTTTTCAGAACGGCGACCACCACTGCGATCGCCCTGAATGACGAGCGGCCTCGTGTACAGCTTTTTAATCCGCCGCAGCACGGTAAGCTCGCGTACAGATTGTAGAAGGGGAATAAAACTGGAGACTTTGTTACTTCATCTCAGAAAAAGTATAAAAACAAAAAGAATACACAATTTGTTTTTTTTTACAAAATACAAAAATACTTTTTGTATTTTGTGCCTCATCCAAGGGGAAGTAGCAGTAAAGTCTTTAAGTAACCATGAGCGTTTCCTTTCATTTCCTCTGGGGATGCACCGATACCGGTATAGGAGTACCGATATGTTTTTGTTTTGTTATTTGCCGATACCGAATTCCGATACTGGAAGTCCCATTAAGGAAGCCAGGCGCCGTGAAAAGACTCGCCACCCGGCTTCCCGATTAGCAGGGAGGCCGCCCTCATGTTTCTCGTCACTAGGGGACGAGGGAGCATGAAGCCGACTTCCAGGCCAATCAGAGTTCCGGGCGTCGAGTCATTACACGCTGGCCGGCTTCCTGATTGGCTGGGAAGCCGGCCCCGTGCTCCCTCGTCACAAGTGAGGAGAGAGCATAGAGCTGGCCAATTTAGGAAGCTGGGCAACGTGTAATGACTCGCTGCCTGGCTTCCTGATACCCGAAGTATCGGGCTAGGCATCGGAGCAATTGGGCAAGTACGATTACTCCCCCAAATACTCGGTATCGGCACCGATACCGATACTAGTATTGGTGCATCCCTAATTTCCTCCATACAAAATAGACTCCCAGTTCCTGTGTTTCAAGAGGATCTTGGTCACGTAACAGAAAGTGACCGTCTCTTTAAAGCCCCCCCCTCCCCCTTCCCACACATGCTCCCCTGCTGCACTAGCCAAGTTCCTTTACAATACATGATGCCTTCAGGTACATGGAAGCATGCGACCTCCTCCTATGATGCAGTGCTCAAGCTGTGTGGCCAATCAAGAGGCCAGAACAGTGTCATGTGAGCAGGAGGACATCGTCAACCATATTTAAGCTCTGATATTTTTATACCTTTACTGACTTCCGAAGCTAAAGAGCAGGAGGACTTTCAGGAGACCCCGACCCCTCCCGGTCACTTCGCCCATTCAGTCCCTCTAGCTGGGGTTAAGGATCAGTTTCCAATGGAATGAAGGCCACGTGACTATTTCAAGGATAACTGCAGGTCTATACAAAACTGCAGCACTGAACTACACGGAGGTTGCCTTTCAAAAACCAACTACAACCCCCTATCAGGGGAAGGTCCTATTTTAATGGAAGAGCCTTACAACAGAAGTCTAATTTATTTTTGCATAGAGTAGGAAGGGGTTAGAACTTGTCAGGTTTTTTACTGTTCGCATATGAAGTCTAATGAGAGCGCCAAACCAAAAGGTCTAAAGGTCCAAATAATAATATTCGCATTGGTTCAATAATATTCGCATTGGTTCAACAAGCAAACAAAAACAGCCGACACATTTCAGTGGCTCAACAATATCTCCCTTCTTCAAGGCTCTGAAGTAGTTAGGAGAAATGACACGGTCACCAGGATTAATTGTTTGTAGAATAAATGTAAAAGATACACGGATCCCGCATACTTCAACATTCACCCTACAACAACTAAACCTGGTGCCATTTCTGAGTCCTTCTAACTACTGAGAATACTGGAGCCCTGAAGAAGGGAGAGATCTCTGATCCCCCAAATCGCATTGGCTGTTTTTTTATTTACTTATAATGAACCAATACTAAATGATTCTGGACTCTTAGACTTTTGATTTGACACCATCATTAAACTTTGTATATATAAATCTTCAACTCTGAGCTCCCTTTCCGATGGGTTTCCCCCTAGTTACGGTTAGGACAAGCTGGCTCTGGTTTGTATTTGGGTGGACACAGGGGTTTCCCTCTAGTTACGGTTAGTACAAGCTGGCTCTGGTTTGTATTTGGGTGGACACAGGGGTTTCCCTCTAGTTACGGGTAGGACAAGCTGGCTTTAGTTTGTACTTGGGAACACACAAGCCGTTTCCATGTAGTTACTGGTAGGACAAGCTAGCTCTAGCTTGTATTTGGGCAGACACAGGGGTATACATCTAGTTATGGGTAGGACAAGCTAGCTCTAGTTTGTATTTGGGCGGGCACAGGGGCTTCAATTTAGTTACCGGCAGGACAAGCTGGCTCCAGTTTTCGCCGCAATACTGTATAAAGCTGCAGCTATACTCAAACACCCGCGTGAACAAGGCCGAACCACAAATCCATCCTGGCACAGGTCAACACCACTACTCCGTGCTATGCATCTGAGTCCAGCTCTCTTAACTAGTAGTGCTGCTTCTGACACCTCTGGTGCATGGAACAAACATACATTGTGTGTGGCATTTTGTTCACAAAATAAAAAGGTAGCAAAAAAACCAAAAGACAAGCCAAAAACAAAAAACAAAAAATCTTGATTGATTGGTGAATCTACAGGTAGACAGGTCAGCCTGAAAAACACGGCTTGGTTGAAATATTAAGGTAAGCTCTTGTAACGGCACAGGTACACTGTACTCTTCCAGTTTTGGCCCTTGGTATATTCCTAAAAAATATATCTATATTTATATAGACAAAGCGGAGGGGAGAGGTTAATCATCCACTCCTATATTTCTGAAAAGGTACGACATGGACTCCCCGTTGTGGATCCGTCGGATGGCCTCGGCCAGGATCATGCTGATGTCCACCGTCTTGATCTTGGGGCACTGCAGTTTCTGGACCTCGTGGGGGATCGTGTTGGTGACGACGACCTGGAGGGCAGAGAGGAAGTGACACATGATGAAGAGTGCAGCTAAGGACCAGTAACTACTACCAACCAATAGAATTTCTTACTACCGATGACTGAAACATGGGTTCTGATTGGTTGCCATGAATCATGGAAACTTGACTTGAACATGCCAGATACTGTGACTAGGAGGACACTCTAGTGACTTTTCAAAGAGAAGAGTACTGACTTCATTGTTACAGAATACCTAAAAGTCGTATCTGAAAATGATTGTCATAGTTTATACACTCGCAGTCATACTTTCATTACTATAATTCATATATGAACAGGTAGGAGCCTCATTTAGAAGCTACTTGTATGTCAGACATCATTCATTGGCCTTGCTAAATGACTGACCAGAGAAAGAGTTGAAAGTCTATAGAGAGAGCCCTGCCCATGGATCTGCATGAAGAGAAACGAGCAAATCAGACAAAGAGCAGCAATGTCCTCACCTCATCTATAGCGGATTCTTCTATTAACTGCGGAGCATCGGAGGACAGGAGACCATGCGTGGCCATGACAAAGATTTTGTAGGCCCCTCGTTCCTTAAGTGTTTCGGCGGCAGCGACAAAACTGTCTACATCGTCTATGATGTCATCCTGCGGGAACCAGGAGAAAAACATGTGTCACAAAGAAGAGCCCAGCCAAGAGATGGGGCATTGTGCTATGAATGTCAACAATATGAGGCCTGTAATATAGAGGAGAGGCATCCTCCTCCCCTACAGTGGTCTACCTACTGAGAACGGTCGGTGACTACACGGAGATCAAGACTTCTTTTATATAAACACATCAAGGACAGTACACTACAACTTCCTCAAACAAAACACTGAAGGAGGAAGGGGTAGGGGAAGAAGGAAGGGGTACGGGGAAGAAGGAAGGGGTACGGGTAGGGGAAGAAGGAAGGGGTAGGAGAAGGAGGAAGGGGTAGGAGAAGAAGGAAGGGGTAGGGGAAGGGAGGAAGGGGAAAGAAGGAAGGGGGAAGCGGTAGGGGAAGAAGGAAGGGGTAGGGGAGGTGCTGCAGTTAATTCTTCCATGGATGACGGTTTTAGTGTGTTTGAAAATCCATATTTAAAGTGCAGCTCCAGTTTTGGACACAGTGGAGAAGGGTCAGGACCTCTGTGAGAGGCCGCTGGGGAGAGTTTCTCTCAATTCCTGTTCCCGTTGTAAACCATGCAACAGGAATACAGATAATATGACGCTGGCAAAGGGCCTAGCCTTCCACCTCTCAGCAGGAAATAAAATTGTTTTTATTGATTTCTTTTCTGGAGATTTCCCGCCACTTCCTGGTTTGGTGCCCACATTGCCACTGGGACAGGCTGACAGAGGTTCTGACTCTACCCATTAGATTCAAAACAAACAAAAAAAAATGTACTGGAGGTACATTTAAGGTCCTGTGGCCCTCCATGATGTTTGTTACCATGGTACTACTAGCAGTTCAGCATTTGGTTGAATCATCTTGGTCTCGGCGGTCGTTAGAGCATCCATGTGACACCAAACTCTTCCCCAACCCAACTTCCTTACAGGTGTCGTGTCAACATGCACAATCCAGGGTGACTTAAAAGTGTTCTCTTCATTTATGTTTTAGTTTTGGATGGAGTGGGGAAGGGTCAGACCCTCCATCAGGTTTTTTTTATTGCTGTCCGTATCATTGTTGGGGAAATTCATCCTCTATTTGTACTGGTGACCACTGAAAGAAAAGCGAAATCCAAAATGTTTGAGTTTTACCAAAACAAGGAGGCGAAGGGAAAGCTTCAAATGGGGGACAACTGTCCCCTCATTTTGGGAGATTTTATCTAACTTTCTGTTCTGCCTCCGGGACAGGAAGTGAAGGGAAATTCCCCAAATAGTGTACAGGGAGCAAAACATTAACCCAAGAGGGATTCTCATCTTTTCCCTATTCTGTCCAAAACTAAAACAAAACATTTTGGCTAAACGTACACTAATAAGGAATTGGAATCTCATATCATCCTTCCTAAATACATCACAATCTTCATCAATGGGCTGCAATCATGGGCAATGCCAATGCTCAGGCCCCCCTCTATGCAGCACTTTATCTGCTCTACTCACCACAATAATGGCTATCCTTCCACCAACATCACCCACGACTGTGATAGGGGGCTTCTCTTTAGGGAACATCACTGGAAAGAAAACAAAGCACATACTGTTAATTTGAACAGAAAATAAATATATAAAGAATAAAACTTTATTAGTTTTCATAGAAATAACACATACAGCCTTTGGGATCCAGAGAAGATGCAGTCCCACATTATGACAATAGGACATTGGACAAGTTTGTACCGTTGTGTCCTCATCAGAGAGATTCCCACATTTTCCCCTCCAGTGCTAACAATACCAAAAAACTCTAGCTCCGATCCCATCCTCCTTTTTTGTTGATGGTGTTCCCATCTGCCTTGGATTTCCACTCTCAATTAATTCTCATTGCTTTCATATAGCATTGTACCAATCCAACAGAAAGACTGGGACCCCCTCCTGCCAATCACACCGAGAATTGTCTCCCAGAGTCTGTGAGGCACATTAAAAGAATTTGGTGGTTTTACTCTCCAGCATCATCTGGAAGATGAAATATGCTTTTTGGACACTTCCACTCTTACAACTGGATTTCATAAGGCCGTGGAAAGGACAAGAGTGACAAGAACTTCATTCACCCAGTGTAGTCAGATTCACTTCAATAAAGGTTCTCATTTATCTAGGTCACGGTATAGATGGTAGGAGTTAGTGAACCAGGACCCCTGTACCGGGTACAAGAAAAAGGAGATAGACCTTTTACAGCAGCTAGAAAAAAAATAAAAGCCATTGATTGGACCTCAAACCATCATCTCTATCCTGGGGAAGCGACACCAATGACCGTATGGACTTTCTAATATACGCAAGGGGGTTCTTTCCACCATCTCTATCCTGGGGAAGCTACACCATTCCCATATGACCTTCCTAAGATACACAAGAGGGTTTTACCATAATCTCTATCCTGGGGAAGCTACACCATGTCTGTACAGACCTCCCAAGTTATTTTGAAAGCATAAGGGTTAAAAAAAAAGTGAGGGGGTTGGATTGGGAGGGGATCATGGGGGATTGGGGAGGAACTCGAAAAGTGGCTTGGAAAAGCTATGAAATGCCGTCAACATTGCAGAACTAGAATAATGTGATTAACTACTACTAGCCAGATTCCCGTCAGAGATAGAACTTTTCTGATTGGTTCCTACAGCATATATCTCATTCTTCCTTTTTCTTTAGTTCACAGAAAATTTTGCTCTGTAATATTCCCGAAATGATTCTGAGCAGACATAAAAATGATGAACGTTCTGGCTCCAGCCAGCGTGTAAAAAAGAGAAGAACGGTCATTTCAATGTCCCAGACCTTCCTGTTAAAGAAGGGATATTATTCCAGGGATGGAACAGGCTGCGCCCTGCTGTGTAAATATTGGGTTTGAGCCTGCGGAGCGTTTGCGGATGTGAGAGGTGTCGCTGCCCACCTGCAGGCTGCACAGTGTTACCGAGTTGCCAAGCATAACGCAGATCTCAGGAAGGAGACATACCGCTGTCACAGGAGACATGGCGCAGGATCCCTTCATCTTTGCTGTCACTTCAGACACGGTTAATCTATTATACATAACATGCAGCGCTCCCGCATTGAGCATGTTACTGGAATGCTTAAAGAGTACCTGTCTTTAAATCACTAACCCAACATGTCTGTAAAAGGCTTGTAAGACACATACACTCGGTCTGTGCTGACAAATGTAAATACAGCATTAAAATAGAAGATTTAACATGTTCATATCATTTCAAAAGTCATTTCCAGTCTTTTTAAATCGGCAGCTTTCGTTAAAATAAGATCCAGTGATCCTGGTATGAAGGTCCTTTTTCTGGCACCTCATCTTATGGGGTGACAGCACTGCCACCCTGGCTTCCAGCAGAGACTACAAGAGGCTGTTTCTAAACATATTACAAATGTCAAATGGTCTAATGTCACCATCATGAAACCCGCCCTGAGAAATGCCATGCAGCCATTGCTGGAGTGCATGTAGACAGGAAGTGGCTGCAAGGAGGCTGTGGGATATCAGCAGCACTGAGATGGGAATAGGGAATGACCAGTAATGAGGGTTTACAAACACTTTTATAAACAGTTAGAACAAGATGCCCAGAAGTTAATTATATGGCCAAAAGTGTGTGGTAACACCTCCATACTACTGAGTTCAGGTGTCTAAGTGCGGTTACTGTTAATACTATAGCATGCAAAGACATCCAAGGTCGTGGTAACAGTTTGGTGAAGGCCCTTTTCTGTTCCAGTACAAAGCCAGCTCCATGTAGACATGGATTTGATGAGTCTGGTGTAGAGGAACTTGAATGGCCTTTGCTGAGCCCTGACCTCAACTCTACTGATCACTTCTGGTGCTAGTTCTTATCCAACATTAATACCTGACCTCACATATGTTCTTTTGGATAAATGGGCACACATTGCCATAGACACCCTCCATAATCTTGTGGAAAGTCTTCCTAAAAGAGTGGAAGATGTTAGAGCTGCAAAGGAGGCCAACTCCAATGCCCATGGTTTAGGAAAGGGATGTCCAAGAAGCTCACATAGGTGAGATGCGTGTGTGTCCACAAACTGGCCATTAAATATACCTTCCCTTTACAGAAACACAAACCAAAGATGTCCCACATAGCAAATCTCAGAACTCTGGATAAAACAAGAGAATTGCAATGAAGCAACATGGTCAGGGGGGCGTCTATGTACTGACCTTCAGGAGGCCAGGCTCCTCAGGCAGCACTATGGAAGAGCTTGTCTGGGCACTGCTAATCTGTGAAAGTGTTTGATGATAACATTTTCTATGCTCAATTCCGTTCTAGCTATAACGACTACAGCAATCCTTGTTTCGAGTCATGAAATAATGATAGCTACGGCAATCATATGCACTACACCTTACTGGACGCGGTCTCCCGCCGGCACAAGCCAGCTATAAGACAAACGAATGTATAAACCAATGATGCGCTTCAAATTGGTCCTGCAAATGCTTCAGCATTCAGAGACGTGTCTCCATTACGCCTAATTGCATTTTCTTCTCTCCCCTGAGAAAGCTTCCTTAGCGCAAGGCAGCACTGCTGCAAATGGCGCACAACAGTTAAATCACAATGCAACCCGACTGTACGAGGTTAGTAGACACCACCACCCCACACATGACGTCTCACCATATCATACAGGCAGAGAAAAGGAAGGAAAGCCAAGTTACGGGCAGACATTAATCCTGATTTGGAAGCAAATCTTTCCAATCTGTTATGAGTATTATGGGCTTAATCCTTCAGCTTTCTGGTAACAAGTAGCCCCTTATTAGGGTGCTGAACCTAGCTGGCTAACGTGATGAATATTCAATTTCTAAGGGCAAATGATCGGTTAGCCACCAGGATATCGCTGCAGACGGGGACCAATCGGAGCCTTCTTTTTCTCATTTATTCATTACAGGTCATTTATATAATGGCGACTATTTACATATTGTACAGTCACGTCAGTCCCTGCCCCCAAGGAGCTTACAATCTAAGGTCCCTACCTCACATACATACAATGAGGATAATAATTATTTATTGGGCCATGAGATGACTTCGTTGGGCCGAGGCGGCCCAACGAAGTCATCTTGTGGAGTCATCTCGTGGCCCAACAAAGTACTGATGGGGTGGTCATAATAATCTGGCCACTCAGTGTATACCGTATATATACCCGCAATAGGATTGGAGCACCAAATCTTCATTTCTTCAATCATCGATATTATATAAAATAAATGAAGATTTGGTGCTGCAATCCCAGTGTGGTTTATTATATAGGTTTAAACATAAAGACAAAAAGAATGTGCGCTACATCCTATTGTGTGATATATAACTATATCCCCTGTGCAGTACCTCTTTGCCACAAGAGGTCTTCAGACTTCTGGGTTAAATGACACCCACTGTCACTCAACCTGTAAGACTGAATGCAAAGTGTCATGGCCCTGCCCCACAGCACCAAGATTGTATTGATGAAGAGTGCAGCACTGAAGTCATCAAAAGGAACAGGATCCAGTGCATTACATGGACGGCCTGAAGACATCAAAAATATGGTATTATTATGTATTGGTATATGATCTCATCAATAAGGGGGTTCATTATAAATGTTCAGCCCGCCTATGCCATTCACATGGCACTAGCCCCCATAGATTATGCTGATGAGTATAGTGCCATCTAGGGGTGCTAGTGCCGTGTAAAAGGGCACCCGCCCTGCTATTGGCCAGGCAGAACCATTTTAAATCAGCCCCCAAGTGTCATAAAAGCTGGTTTTATGATTAGTCTTCAATTATAATGCACAGAATGTATTTACATGTCTCATTCAGTTATAAATCCCCAAAATAAGGGCATCAATATGGGGAATTATTATTCTACTCTTATTTTAGAGTAGTGGGTGGAGAACCATCAGTTTGAGATGTCAGATGGCCACAGGGGCATATAGGAATGATTTGCATGGCTCCACCCACAATAATAGAGGAATAATAATGAGGATGTGAGACACAATGAGCCTTCTAAAGCCTTTTGTATATAGAATGCTCTGCTGTGCTTCACACTGGTTCACTGGAGGCTTTTCTGGTTCATTTTGGCCCACCTGACCATAATCTGTCAGGTTCCAATTTCAAGTCAAGATCTAAAACATACAAAATGCTGTAAAGCTTCATACATTTTACTGGCCCATCCAATCACAGCTCTGAAAACGAGTAACGCAGCATGATTGGGAAATCCTGACAGATCAGCAAGTAGCTGGATAAAGCACAGACTTTGTGGAGACGCCCCATGTGCATTCTGGGAGGAAGCGAGCGTGCCTGCGGTTCTGTGCTCGGCTGTCAGAAGGAAAGAAGGACTCAGTCACAAGGAAGGGAAAAAACTGAGCAACCATCAGAAATATAACCAAATTTCTGCAATATAACCACAAAGCCAGTTCCCAGTCTTACACGCTGACCCCAAGTGACGGGGTTAATCTACTGGAGACGGATGTCAGCAGGGTGAGTAAACCACATGGGCCACTGCCAGAGAAAGAGACGATCCAGCTGCATCTGTGCCAGGAAATATGCCGAGCTGCTGCTGCTGCTGGAAGCTTTCCAAATGGTGAAATGACGAGCCGGCTTCAGCTATGTCCACAGACACCGGAGGAGATTTACAAAGACTGACATGGAGTGAAACGAGTGCAGATTCACAGGTGGTTTGGAATTTTTGGGAGTTTTTCTGACATTTGGCAGCCCCTGTGCCTATATATAATGCAAGTGGGGCATCTAATGTGCAGTTACAGCAAATGTATGCGCCTGCCCTTAAGATTGACCGACATGCCCAAACCCTTCCCATCACTGCGCTCTTTGATACAATGCATATCATGATGAAAAAAATCTCTTACATACATTGCACTTGCCATGAAAGAAACCCTGTCACTGCGTCCCTCGCCTCATGCTGTGGTTCCGCCCACCTGTCGCTTCATCACCATGGCGTCCCTGAGGCACACTAGTGATGTAGCAGCCGGTGGCGTTGAGCCACGATGCTGCAGTGGGGGACTAGGCATCCAATGTACTCATGTCGCATGCTGAAGATTCTTCCGGCAGCTTGGCTCCACAAGAGTATGAAGCCACTTAAAAGAGAAAGCATGGTGATGTAATTTTTCTTCATAAGTTTATAAACTGATGTTTATTAATTTATTTGTTTTAATACTGAGTGCATCCATGACACTCTGTTTGCAAAGCAAATTGTGCTTTCAAATAACAGCTCAGCAAAGCCTGCATATTAATGAGTAAGCCAAGTGGGCTCAGACTGGCTTAACGTGAACCTGTGGTTAGGCTATGGACATTTAAGTATTGAAATGAGCTTTAAAACAAGCAAACACTAACCCATGTAGCTGCATACACTGCGGAATAATTCCTTCTCAAGATTCGCAGGAGCACTGAACTCCTTCTAGAAGCAACTCAGCTCATTCCCTTCCCCAGCGGTGACAAAGCTACTACCTCGCTACCGCCTCCCAGCTGTTACTCAGCATCTCCTTCTCTGCTCCCCCTCTCAGCAGTAACTCAGCTTCTCGGTCTCCCCTGCTCCCTCTCTCAGCAGTCACTCAGGATCTCGGTCTCCCCTGCTCCCTCTCTCAGCAGTCACTCAGGATCTCGGTCTCCCCTGCTTTCCCTTCCAGCAGTAACTGTGCATCTCCGCTTCCCCTGCCCTTCCTCCCTGCAGTACGTCAGCAGCTTAGCATCCCCTGCTCCTCTTCCCCAGCAGCGACTACACATCCTTCCAGCCTACTTATCTCTAATGCAAACAAACACCACAGGAGCTCTGGCCACAGGCAGCTAAGGCTCTAAAGCACTGCAGGGAGGGGGAGCTGAGCTGCTAAAAGAATGACTTGAACCACTTCAGTGCATATGCTGTGAACCTTGAAGCAGGCCCAAGAAGAGGCAGAAACATGTGACCCACTTGCAAGCATGAGAGAAAGAGATGCTTCTCTGCTGGTCGGTGTGCAGTGTGTGTAGTCTCATCTTCCCTACCATTCAAATCTATTCCAGGGCTGAATGAGCCTGGAAACAGTCAAGCAAAACAAATGGCAAACGCACTCATCAATTTGTTACCAGCTTTACAGCAAGGTGCACATGGAAGGGCTTTAAACAGTAACAGCAAAAAGTTTCCCAGCACACTCACCAGCCAGCATGCAAAAAAAACTTGTCTAGCCGCTAAGGTTAATAACAGAGGTTTGGATACACGTCTTCTGCAGAAAATGTGAAAGCCGCACAGCCTCCCCAAGGCACCTCTTATAGTGCGGTCCTAACTCTAAACTATGAGAGCCTCCATCTTGGAGCAAATGTGGCAAAAGATAAAATTGGGTGCAGGTTTGTCAGGAGGAAGCCCAACCTCCCTTAAAGGCACGGGGACGCACAAGGGACCCCGCACATCACAATGGAAGCTGAGACCTCCCATGCGTCACTGCACCAAATATACTTTATAAAAACTGCCGTGGGAAAAAACCCCAAAACATTCTTTTGGACACAGACACTGTCCCTCCTGTGTGAAGAGACCGCTCACTTGGCTTTAGAAAACACAGAGGCAGCCAGCATTTTAAGGAAATCAGTAACAGTAGGTTGAATCTCTCCCTCACAACAGTTTTCCTGCTGTGAAAAAAAAGTTGCTCAATAGAAAAGTTGAACAATACGCTTAAGAGCCAATAAAGATGGCAACCTTCGAACCTGCTGGCAATCCCATCTGGCACCTGCCCATTACAATAACACCGCTAAGGGTTTACAGCAGTGAAGACTTCCTGGCCAAGTGATGGGACACACGGCGGCTGACATGTTTTCCAGCTGCTAAAACAACAGCTAACTAGTTCAATTACACTGAAAGAAAATGTAACCAGATTAGTTAGACATTATACAAGATGATCAGGAGAAGATAGGGATGTCAGGTCTTCCCCAAGGGGGTGACTAAAGATATTTCTGATGGTCAGATGAAGATCGGGTTGTGTAGCTCTTCCCCAAGGGGGTGACGAAAGATATTTCTGATGGTCGGATGAAGATCGGGTTGTGTAGGTCTTCCCCAAGGGGGTGACGAAAGATATTTCTGATGGTCAGATGAAGATCGGGTTGTGTAGCTCTTCCCCAAGGGGGTGACGAAAGATATTTCTGATGGTCGGATGAAGATCGGGTTGTGTAGGTCTTCCCCAATTATATAGCGTTGACAATTTACACAGCACATTCACATCAGTCCCTGTCCTCAAGGAGCTTACAATCTAAGGCCACTATCTCACATACATACAAGGGCCAATTAACCTACCAGCATGTCTTTGGAGTGTGGGAGGAAACCGGAGTACCCGGAGGAAACCCACACAAGTACAGGGAGAACATACAAACTCCTTGCAGATAGTGACCTGGCTGCGATTCGAACCGGGGACCACCAGTGCAAGGCAGAAGCTCTAACCACTATGCCACTGTGCTGCCCCTCACCATACTGAGGATCAGGATGGCCACACAAAGGACGCAATGTTCAAACGTATCTAATATACTTCCCATACCACACTTATCTGACAGCTAGCGGCACGGGGACACTAAATAAAGTTACAATGTGGCTGTATGATCTGGTCGTGCAATAGACAGGTGTGCTTTGGCCCCGTCACAGTCAACAGTGACTCTGGCATGAGAAACGTACGGGCCATTTATGAAAATGCTAGTTGCCTGGTTGTGTCTGGCGGGCATTTTGAGCATGCTGTAGGCAAGTGTCATAATTCCCAATCTCTATACTTGTTCCGGGTCAGAGCCATTGAAGCCAAACTATCAGCATGACAGCTAGGAGATTTGCATTCTCAAAAGGAGAGGTTAGCAATGGCAGCCCTTATAGTTATGCCCCCCCCCCATTCTTCCCAGGAGGACATACCTCCTTTGCGCCCCCGCCCCCTCCATTCAGCTGACAGGAGAGCATAAAGGTAAGCTACGGATCGCGGCGGTTGGCGCTTACACAGGGATGATAGCCCTGTGCCAGTGGTGGGCCAATCAACAAGCAACAGAGAGGGGGTGAAGTGAGTCACAGGATCTTCCATAATATTTTCTATCCCAGTAGCTGAACAGAAAGGAAAGGATGGGAAGGTATGTACGGGGAAGGAGGGGGCATTAAAGACCTCTCCTTTGAAAAAAAGCTCACTACCTGGCCTTTAATCTGAGCCTGTTGCTTTAAAGGAGAACTATGGGGTCAGGGCTTTTCCCTATAGTTCTCCTTAGGGTAACGGGAGGACACAAACTAGCGTTCTCCCGTCACCCAAAGCTCAGTATACCGCGAGCTGCAGCTCGTGGTATACTGAGACGCCGCAGCCGGGACGGATCCATACATTACTGTCTGGATCCACCCAGCTGCGGGATTGACAGCTGGCTCTGCCTATCCAGGAGGCAGAGCCAGTTGTGCCCGCCCCCTCCCCCGTCCGTTTCGCCAGTCAGCGCTGGAGGATCGGACAGGGGAGGGGGGAATCCTGCAGGGAGCCGTGAGTGACAGTCACGGCTCTCTGCAGGGATAGATCGAGAAGTGAGCGAGCGCCGCTATGTGTTCGCTCACTTCCCGATCTACTGAGCCGACCTGTGAGTCTCATTGTCACAGGTCAGCTCAGAATATGAGGCTGAGTGAAAATCACTCGCCTCATAATTCTCCTTTAACAGTTTGAACCTCTGACCTGGAACAGATAAGGCCTTCTCCAACGTTGCTGATCTGCAGGTCAGTGACCTAGTAATAAAAATGAATGGTCAGCATACCGGCCAGGCATTTAGCATTTTTAGAATGAGGTCAGCAATGGCAGCCCCGTATTTCCTTCATGACAGGTCACAGACCAATGGTCAAATAGGCTTCCTCTTCGCTATCCTGTCCCCACTGCCCTTGGCAAGTTTTGAAATGTTTACCTTTGATGATAAGTCATTGCTAACCTTCAGCAGAGACCGCATGAGCAATGCCTAGGCATTTGATGACGTGTACAAATCACTAGATATCAGAGGAGCTTTTTTTTTCCTGTAGTAAAGGTAAGTACTCATTTTACTTTGAGGAAGCAGGAAGGATGGAATGCGTCGTATCTGAGGACCACTCAAGGCAATAGGATACATGCTGCGGCTAGAACTGCTCCATGTACGTACACGCCGGTATGAAAAGCAGACAATGAGACTCTTACAGGGTATTTCCAACGACTTGTGAATGCCGGGCACACTCTTGATTGCTGGTGGGGAATGTCGCCCGTCCACCTGATCGGATTCTGCGTCCTGAGCTTCTCCGTGAATGACGGCGATCCCTAGCCGCAACCTCTCGGCAAAAGACTGGGCTCTGCGGGAGAGAAAAGGCCGATGACAGGCGCTTCTTGCAGGACTGAATTCTCAGCGATCAGGTGAGGAAAACAAATGACAGAGCGACTTGTACTTGAGGGCAAGAAATGTTACTGAAATTACACAACGGTCCCCTTTGCTAACCAGAACGCAATAGCCCCTGGGGACCAGCTAGCTGCTGGATGTGGCCTGAGCCATAAATAGGCCTATGCCTGGGATCAGCATGGTAAAGAACAATCTAGAACCTAATCAGTCCAATATGGGACCTACAAAGCAATGCTCACATGGGGAACCTATTCTTAGGGATGCACCGACACCAGTTTTTCGGTATGGAGTACCGAGTACCAGTGCCGTTTGTCCTGATTATCAGGAAGTCGGGCGGCGGATCATGACCCATCACCCGGCTTCCTGATTGCCTTTGAAGCTGGTTTTCTAATGAAAGAACACGACTTCACTTGCTGAGGCTGCCTGGCTTCCTGACCAATCAGGAAGCCGAGACACGAGTCATGACGTGCCACCCGGCTTCCTGATTGGCTAGGAAGCCAGCTTCACTTGTTAGTAGGCAGCCTGGCTTCCTGACCAATCAGGGTGGCATGTCATAACCAGCTTCCGGGCTTCCTGATTGGAAAGGAAGACGGCTCCATGCTCCCTCGGCACTGCTGGTCAGAGGGAGACCTCCCACTGACCGGAAGTTCTGGTATCGGAGGTAAGCATCGGAGCATTTGGGTAAGTACGTGTACTCACCCACAAAATCGTTATCGGCTGTATTGCTTTAGACGTAAGGCTGCACTAGTTTAAATTATTAAAGGGTGTAAATTCAGATAATTACAAAGTGACTGGTTCTCTTTAAAGGAGAACTATGAGGTGAGTGCTTTTCACTCATCCTCATAGTTCTAGCCGACCTGTGACAATGAGACTGTCACGGGTCGGCTCAGTAGATCGGGAGGTGAGCGAACACATACCGGCGTTCGCTCACTTCTTGATCCTGTCACGGTGCTCTGCCCTGACAGGGGAGGGGTTGGATTCCCCTCTCCCCGCTCCGATCCTCCAGCGCTGACTGGCGGAACGGACGGGGCGGGTACAGCTGGCTCTGCCTCTAGATAGGCAGAGCCAGTTGTCACTCTCGCAGCTGGGCGGATCCCGACATAATTGTCGGGATCTGCTTCAGCTGCGGCGTCTCAGTATACCGCGAGCTGTAGCTCGCGGTATACTGAAGCTAAGGAGAACTATGAGGAAAAACCCTAACTCCATAGTTCTCCTTTAAGATGATCTCTTTTACATTTATATATTACAAATAAAAGAATGACACTAGGTAGGGATGCACAGATACCGATACTAGCATCAGTGCCGATACCGAGTATTTGGATGACTACACATACTCTCCCAAATGCTCCAATACCTTCCCCAATACAGGAACTTCCAGTCAGAGGGAGATCTCCCTTTGACTGCAAGTGCCGAGGGAGCATGGAGCTGGCTTCCTTTCCAATCAGGAAGCCGGGTGGCACGTAATGACCCGCCACCAGGCTTCCTGATTGGTCAGGAAGCCAGGCTGCCTAGGAATAAGTGCCTAGGAACAAGTGAAGCCGGCTTCCTAGCCAATCAGGAAGCCAAGAGGCGGAACATGACGTGCTTCGCGGCTTCCGAATTGGCTAGGAAGCCAGCTTCACTTGTTGGTAGGCAGCCTGGCTTCCTAACCAATCAGGAAGCTGGCGGCACGTCATGACTCACATCCCGGCCTCCCGATTGCTCAGGAAGCCACGCTGCACAGCAACAAGTGAGGCCGGCTTTCTAAGCAATCAGGACGCTGGGAGGAGGGTCATGACGTGCCACCCGGCTTCCTGATAGGCTAGGAAGCCGGATGGCACCTCATGAATCGCCTCCCGGCTTCCTGATTGGTCAGGAAGCCAGGCAGCCAAGTGAAGCCGGTGTTCTTTCGCTAGAACACCAGCTTTACAGGTAATCAGGAAGCCGGGTGACGGGTCATGATCCACCACCCGACTTCCTGATAATCGGGGGACACACGGCACTGGTACTTGGTATCGGCGAGAACTGAAAACAAATAAATATCGGTACTCGTACTCGATACTGAAAAACCGGTATCGGTGCATCCCTACTGTCTAATTGATAAGAATGAACCATCTGCAATCTTTAACGATGGCACATTCCACCAATGTTGTTCCCCATGATCCCTGTGTGTGTTGTAAAGTAGTCACCGCTCCAAGCTCGCTCCCGGGATGGACTACAATCCCAATACAAATCAGTAAACTTAACATGAGATTGTAGTCCATCACTGGAGCGAGCTTGGAGCGGTGACTACTTTACAACACACACAGGTACCATGGGGAACAAAAGTAGCCCCCCTCCAGAAGGAAGGACAGTGTCAGCACCAATTCACAGATGATTGGAGGCTCTACAGCCGAGTGATACACAAATAAGATACATTGTTGTTAATAGTTAAGGGACTTGAATGAATATTTAGGATTTCACTTCTGAGTTTAGTGTCACTTTAAGCTCCTTGGCTCCATCTAGGGGCAGTAATGCCCTGTGAATGGCATTTGCCTCGGTACAGGCCGGAAGGCGGCTTTATAACTCAGGCTCTTAGTGTTTGTCAAGGCGAAGCCTGGATCAAAAATCTCCACATCAAGAACTGACCCCCCTCCGTGTATATGGGGTTCCAAGGTCCTAAGGAAGTGGACAAAAATCTCATTACTACAGGAGACATAGTCCTGAGATATGATAATCATCCAAACTACTCACCGTTTTGCTGATGCTGGCGATTTGGCTACTATGACTGCATTTCTGTAGTCAGGAATCTGCAAAAACACAACAATGTTGTGGATTGATATCCATGCCTTTCATAACACACACTTTGTATTATGCAAATCTGCAGGGAGGAAAGGGTGAAGGTTTACGCCGAGCGGAGCTCTCCTTTAAGGTAGGCACACAAACACAGATCTTTTTTTTTTTTTTTTTTAAATGGGGGAACTTCTCACCTGAGTGTATTACTATTTTTTCTGAAGTGTGCAAGAAAAGAACACATTCTGCAAGATTCCAACTGCAAAAACCGTACAAACCAGACACAAACATGTAGCTTACAAAACGGCAAACGAATGATCAAAGTGATGCCCTCTGGCGGCAAAGCCAAAAGGAATAAATAAACTTTAAGGATCTACAGCCAACTCTTATTTTTTTAGGCTGGGATAGAGTCGGGAAGGGTTAAAACTCCCGCGAGTTTATTTTTTGCTGCCTACATCCTATTGGGGACATTTCCCTACACTTCCTGTCCCAGGAACGCGACAGGAAGTGGTGGGAAGTCCCTACAACGTGAGGGACATTATCCTCTTAGGCAGCTGTCATTGGAAGGTGTCCCCATTGAACGATAATCACCCACCGCCTGTTCTGGCAACAACTGTAACATTTTGGATTTCTCATCACTTTCTGTCTCGGTGACGATGGTCACCAGGACAGATGGACAAAGATATTCTACCTAGCGTGGGACAAAGACAGCAATAAAAAAAAAAAATTGGCCTTTCCCATTCTATCCATGATATGCATGTGCAAACAGAACGTTTTCTATTTCACAAGCAGCCTGCACCTCTTTTTCACATTTCACTTTATCTTCCAAAGGCCTACTTACAGAGCTCAGTAGCTCAAGCTTAAATATATACAAAGGAAAGAGTCAGAGCAGTGACCCCTCACTCTCCAAGAGCATGAGCTCACATCTTGGTCTCACAGTCATGCTAAGCACATGACTTCCCGGACTATTGGGTTAAACTCCAAAGCCAAGTCCCTGTGACCTGCATCCCTTATTGTTCAAAAAGAGCAGAAAATCAGTATTTTGTTTTATTTTTAGGTATTTATATAGCGCTGACAGTTTATGCACAGCACATTCACATCAGTCCCTGCTAGGGATGCACCGATACCACTTTTTTTAAGACCGATACTTTTGATCAAGTACTCGCAGATACCAATTACTGTCAGGAAGCAGGGGGTGTTACCTCTACTCGGGGACCACGGGCACGGCGCAGGGCAAGGGTTCCCCTTCAGCTCGGTAGAACACCTGGCGCCCGAGGTGCAGGTGCGCATGCGCGAGCCATGCGGCGTGGGCGCATGCGCAGTACGCAGGCTGCGCGCCCATCCCCGGGAGCATAGCGTTCCTGCATCATCTGGCTATCAGGTGTGAGCCTTGCTGGGGGAGGTTCCCAGTACACACCTTCCATCTTCCTCGCCTGTCATTGGTTCCCGGGGAGGGAGGCCTCCTGGTTGCCTCGGTGACCAGGGGGTGGTTCTACCTCCCCTGGCTATAAAAACCTGGCCTGAGCTCTGGCTTATTGCTGAGTTATTCCACCTTATGGTGAACACCTAGCCTCCCTGCTGATCCTCCTATTGCCTGTTGCCCCTGTGTATCCTTCCCGATTACCGACCCTTGGACTGTCTTCCGCCTTTGAACCTTCGCTGCCTGCCTCGACCCGGATTGGACATTGACTACCCCTCTTGGATTATCCCTAAACTTGTACCGCGTTTCTGGACTGTCAGCTGCTTATTGCCAGTGGGTTCCTCATCTCACTACTAGGTACTGGGACGTCTGACAATTACCGATACTTTTTCTTAAAGGGACAGGTCACATTTTTTCTAAAGCAATACAAACTAATGCTTTAAGGTCACTTTCTTAATATTATGATTCATGAGATGACGAGGGAGCATGACGCCGGCTTCCCGGCCAATCAGAATGCCGGGCGCTGCGCCATTACACGGCGCCCGGCTTCCGGATTTGCTAGCTTCCGGACCAATCGGGAAGCCGGGCAGCGCGTCATTGCACGCTACCCGGCTTCCTGATACAGGAAGTACTCATGTTAGGTATCGGAGCATTTGGGCGAGTACGAGTACTCACCCAAATACTCGGTATCGGCACCGATACCGATACTAGTATCGGTGCATCCCTAGGCCCTGCCCTCAAGGAGTTTACAATCTAAGGTCCCCATCTCACATGCATACATAGAGGGCCAATGTAGACAGGAGCCAATTAACCTTCCAACATGTCTTTGGAGTGTGGGAGGAAACCAGAGTACCCGGAGGAAACCCACGCAAGCACAGGGAGAACATGCAAACTCCATGCAGATAGTGTCCTGACTGGGATATGAACCAGGGGCCCCATTGCTGCAAGGCAAAGCGCTAACCACTAAGCCACTGTGTTGCCTTATGCAGACACCATGGGGGCAGGTAGGTGATCAGGCCTCTGACTAAAAGCAAACCCTGCCCAACCAAACGCCCAGATTAAATTTTCATGGTTGATGGCAAACAAGGACGCTTGGCCAAGATATACCATGTCCGGCTGCCATCTGTAGCCAGCTTGATCTCTTTGACCCTGGAAGATTTGAGCAATCTACCAGCAATCATAACAAGCAATCGCTTGCTCAATGCAATATCCAATATAAAGACACACAAAGCTCTCCGCCACTGCAAGGTTGTGCCCAGCTGGCATCACCCCCATGTAAAACTGTTGTTTCCATTCACTGCTCACAAAATGAAAAAAGGGGCGAAGCCACGACGTAACAATACGCACCTACGTGTCCTACAGAACACTGAATCCTTATCAGCCAGGTCCACCTCCTACAGCTAATGACATGCACGCTCATTGTTCAGCCAGAAACGCGATCCCACTCTATTGTGCCGAGCAGAACATTTAAGATGCCTGGCCTTCTTATATCTGCTCTGTAATTATGCAGCTCAGAGATCATGTGACAATCCCGGGAACGGAAGCGCGGCGAGAAGCAGAAGCCTGAGAGTTATGGGCACTGATGAGCATAAAACGTTCATGTGACCTGCCAGGCGTCACAAGGGCTGCCCTAAGTCCATAGAAACCCATTCATTCCAGGGAATATGGGCTTAACCCATGAGAGTTTAAAGGAACAGTCCACTCAAGCAAAGTGACTTAGGGACGGAGCCCGACTAAGTGGCTCTAATCTTCATCCAGCAATGATCTCCTGCTTGTGGCTGCCCTTCTAGCCAAATCTGACAGCGGCTAGTATCCTATTTTTCGGAATGGTCCCCAATCAGGATCTTTGAAGAATGCAACGTGGAGTTCACTGGTTCCAGTCCTGCCCCATCTCTGAGCTGAGCGTAGCCCCATCCACAGTAAAGAGGGAGGTTGCACAGAACCATGTGACAAGACGACACAATCACACCCAAAAACATGGTGGGTAAACTTACCTGCAGAATTCCCATGCCACTCAAAGACTCGCCCCAAAACCCTCCCACAACGGGGTCTCCCTTAGTTCAAAGCCTGACACATTCAATGACTTTACATCATCTAACGGGGGCGGTGACGCCATCATTTGGCTTTAACAGCAGCTTTGGGCCAGGCTGGGCATTTTTAGGACCTGTTCGCTTCAAAGAAGAACTCCAGGGAAATGTATTTTTTAATCCTTGCAGTGTAAAGGTTAAGTTCTCCTTTTGGTCTAAGGAGGAAAATAAAGTTATACTCACACGAACCTCGGAGCCGGCTTGCTGCAAGACTTGCTCCTGGATTCTCTTTCCCCCCCTGAGGTCTCTGAGTCCTCACGTTCTATATATTGTGAATGCAATGCGAGGACGTCGAGAGCCATCTCTTCAGCGGAGGAGGAGTCAGGCTGGAAGAAGCGATGTCTCGTCTGGTGGCTCTGAGGATCAGGCGAGTATAACATCATTATTTTCCTCCCTAGATCAATGCAACCCCCTGCAAGGGTTAAGACTCATTTTCCCGGAGTTCTGCTTTAAGCAGGTCTGGAATTCCCATGTAAGGCCCCTTTCACACAGGCAGCCCGATCGGGTCCTCCTGTCAGTTTTTCAGGTGGACACGATTGGATGCCCAATGCAAGTCTATAGGCAGCGGTGTGTAAATGGACAGGCGTCCGTTTACACCTGGTTACCCCCGGCTCTGGCCAGGTCCGGAAAGACAAATGGATCAGAGACAAGTTTTGCTGGACCCGATCGTGCTGAATCCGGGGTAATCTAATGTAAACGGAGACATGTCCATTTACATCCGATTCCCCATAGACAGACATGGGGTCCGGTAATTGCATTTGTGTTCCTCCATCGCAAGATAGAACTGTACAGACACGAATGTCATCACAGCGGCGACATCTGCTCCGTACTGCTCCTATCAGGAAGGGATCCGTGCACAGATCTTCTCCTGATCAGCTTGTGTGAAAGGGGCCTAAGTCCACAGGAATGCAAAATTTGCTTGAAGCAGGTCAACTGCAAGTCAAAGGGAGTTCAAGTGCACCCGTTCACGTATTCAGAATGAGCTCAGAGGCGTCTCGGACTGATACCAATGACACAAGCCCGAAGCCCGCCAACACAAGCCCTTAGGCCTCATTCACACTGCTTAAGGACACCAGGACCCGCATGGATGTGCTGTTCGGGTGTGCGCATGACAGCGTACGGCAGCAAAAGGTTTCCCAGCACACTCACCAGCCAGCATGCAAAAAAACTTGTCTCACCGCTAAGGTTAAAAACAGAGGTTTGAATACACTTCTTCTGCAGAAAATGTGAAAGCCGCACAGCTGCGCCAAGGCTCCTTTGTGTAATGCGGTCTGAACTCTAAACTATGAGAGTCTCCATCTTGGAGCACATGCGGCAAAAGATAGAAATGGGTGCAGGTTTGTCAGGAGGAAGCCCAACCTCCTTCAAAAGGCACAGGGACACACAAGGGACCCCGCACATCACAACGGCAGCTGCGATCCGCCATGCGTCACTGCACCAAATCAGTCAAGCAAAACAAACGTCAAACGCACTCATCAATTCGTCACCAGCTTTACAGCAAGGTGCACAT